TTTTTTTTCCAGGGAAAATAGGATCCGCCAATGCTGAAACAAATTGAGACTATAAACTGTGGGCGCGCAATAAAACAAACAATATTAGATTATAATCAAACCCGGAGCTTGTGTACTTGTGTCTACTCCGTATAGCATCATAGCATTCATAGCCTGGGGGGGGGGGTATGTGTGATCTCCGTTAGGATATATGTCTTCCTAGATTTTCTGGGTCCGAGGTCTTCTATGTCTTATAATATAAGAAATGAAGAAGATGTTTTAATTTGGAACCCTCCCACCCACCCAATCGCAACCCTGTATAAGAATTTGTGCACTTGTGCCTTCTCCGCGTAGCCATCATAACCTAGTATAGGACACTAAATATAATGGTATGTATTTCTTGGATATTAACTACTATTCAGGAATCAGACCCCTGTAGCAAGCAACATTGGATTAACATCAAATCTCCCATAATTCGGTTCTTTTATGCCTGCTCTTCCCCCCCGCCAAAGATCAGATTTGCAACAATCGCAATCGACACCTAACATCACCTAAGCTCCGACAATATTTTGGGTCCACGCGCCGGAAATTGAATATTATAGAGGTGCTTACGGCGGCGAGCGCGCACGCGAATCCAAATCAAATGGTTTCCGCGCTTAAATTATATTATTTTTTTTCAATCAAAAGATTAAGATCAGGTTCAAAAGCTGCCGGCGAATTACAACTAACCATTATTTTTTATTTCAATTTTTTTTTTTTTTTTTTTTCCCATTTCGAAATTATTTCCTCCGTATCCGATATTTAGCCATTTCAAATCTTTTTTTCGCTTCGAGCTCTTCCTTTCAAATCTAGCTTGTTTTCGATTTCTAGTCTATTCTTTTCGTATCCGGTATTTTTCCGTTTCAAATTCTTCTTTTATTTTGGACTATTCCTTCCTTGTCCTTTTTCGCTAGAAATCTTCAAAAGAATTCGTCCGCATAAAACGCATCTTCGTCTAAGAATTCGTCTACGGGTGATAGGCATTCGCCTACCGGCGATACATCTTCGTCTACATCTTTATCTAAGAATCGTCTTCGAATCCATTTCAAAAAAATATTTTCGTAATTCGTTTTCTACGGATACAATTTTACTCCCCCCCCCACGCGATCACAATGAATTCTATATTCGTATATAAAATTGGAAAATAGACGTACAAAATTCAACGAATTCAATTCACCGCGAATTCAACACACACAACTCAACTAATCGAACTCACTTCACATAAACCCATCTTACAAAACCAAATCCATCCAACTTACCTGACACCAATTCACCTCCAACTCCGCTCGCCCCACTCAAATTCATTTCGCAATGAACTCATACAACGCATCCCACACCAACGCGCTTCACACCAACTCCCTTCACACCAAGAACACCCGCTCAATTCAATTTACTCAAATCTACCCACACAAACCCGACCCACATCAAAGGAATTCTTCCACACACAACTCACGCAACCCACCTCACACCAATCTCAAACACCAACCCGCACCAAACTTCAATTCCATCCATCTGTGACTTTGACCTTCATCCGTAAGATTCTATTTACTATTCCATTGATATGAATCATTTGTATGCATTGGTTGGATGAAATGCTGGTGATTTGGCGGCTCTAAAAGCTTTGTTCGCACATCCGCAAGATGCAGCAAAGAGGAGTCACATGCACGGCTGGCTCTGTCGGTGGGGCTGCGCTCTCAGCCATTGCGTGCAAAAAGCTAACAAAGATGTTGAAAGCAACTGTCATGGATAGAAACGGAATGACACACGGTCTGTCGGTGAAGCTGCACTCTGAGCCATTGCTCACAAGCAAGCGAGGATGTGGGCGTGCTGTTCAGGCACCCAGAAATAGACAAGCAACACAACATGAAAGCTCCAATTGTCGCAGAAAAGATCGTTCGAATTGCCTTACTAGTAGTAACAAAAAGCTATTAGGAACAAGTGCATCGCTTCTAGTAACAAGTGCCTTACTAGTAGTAACAAGAAGCTAGTAGTATCTCTGCGCCGGTTTCCAGCGCACAGGGGTTTTGTTTGTGTCGTCGTGGTCCGTCCTGTGCTCTCTTTGCGTCGTGCGTCGCGCATAGCTTAAATTATATCCAAACAATGATTGAATTCAATATCCTTTATATACCTGTACCATATAGTATTCATTTTTCAATATATTTCAGGTAATAAATATATCAATTATGTTCACTTATATGTTTCTTTTTAAGCGGTCTGGCTTGTTGTTCGAAGTCATTACCTGATCGTTTTTCAATCATTGGCGGTTGCGAATTCTTTCTTTCTTTGAAAGCAAGGTAAATTGATTTGAATTGAACTGATCCAACGACATGTGAAATTTTTATTCACTCTCAATACCATCTTCTTCTCCGCGGGGATGATGCTGATAACCTGAGCCCCACAATCGCCAACCGAGCTAAACCTCATGTCCGTCCCCTGACATGTTTCCAGCTCAAAAGTAGGGAGCTTTGTTAATGTAAAGGAGACATGTCTTGAGCCCATCTATCTGACTGCGTGGATGAACTCCGCCCAGCCAAACAGCCTCTACGCGGATATTAGGGGGGGCTACAAAAGCACGGATAGAAATAATTCCCCGTATATACCTTGGGGCTGCAAAGGACTCTCTAGTAGGTCGCTAGTCAAAAATTCTTGACAAGCGATAGTGCGAACCAAGACCGAAGGCAAACTTTTCGCACGAAGTGAAGTACAAAATGTGGGTTTTCTGAATCTTTCAAGTTCTAATATAGTTTGCTGGTTGAAGGCCATCGCTAGTAGAAACAAAGAAAAAAGAAAAGGACGAAGCAAATGTCTTGTGCTCCAAGCGGCCCTTCTGAAATTTTCCAAGGTTGCAGCAATTCTGGATCAGGTGCAGGCTAAACAAGGTCCAAAAGACGGGAATCGCATTTCCACAAATGTATGAGTTGCCCTCGCGCTGTATCTTCACAGCCTCATAGCAGCCATAGATGCCCAAGCCCAGTTGAAACAACATCACCAGGGACTGCAATACCAGGACTGCAGTCATTCCACCACCATAGTGCAGGGCACTCTCCTGGAACTCGGAGCGATGGGCAGCAACAGACGTGGAATGATGGCCTCCCGCAATGGCGTAGGCCTGGCTGATGACCGTTCCTAACTTTGACCTAACATATTTTCCAAATCCAACCTATTAATAGCAATGGCCTCCAACCTAATAGCAATGGCCTCCTAACTCTTGCTAAACAATCTTATGACATATAGCTATTCTTGTGTTTAGTATTCTTTCTTTGTACTCAACCAGGCTTGGACAGGAAGCTGGTGCAGAACCTCTGACATGGCGTACGAATGCTTCCGCACAAACTTCGCTTCTCCTGGATTACTAATTCCCTAAAAACCTAGGAACATTAGGAACATGTAGGAACCAAATGATTAGTGCGTGAGCTATCCTGCGTCCATGTGTAAATTAAGTATTGCTAGTAGCGCACTTGATTAAGTAGGTAGTCTCTACTTAACTTTGAATAGGGCGAGGCAGGGCCGAGCGGGCAAAAAGCAAGTCTAATATAGTCTGCTCTTGGGCTGGAGGCCATCGCTCTTAGTTTGTTTGGAGGCCATCTCTCTTAGGTTGGAGGGTAGGTCGGAGGCCATCGCTAGTAGGTTGGCGGCCATCGCTAGTAAAGGTCGGAGGCCATCCCTAGTAGCTTGGAGGCCATTGGCTAGTAAAGGTTGGAGGCCATCGCTAATCACCATTAGGTTGGAGGCCATCGCTAGTAGGTTGGAGGCCTATCCCCCCGAGCTTCAAAAAATAGGTGTGAGAGCGACAGGAGACATAGGTCTGAAATTTTTAGTCGTCTTTGTTTTGAGAAGCTGCTCTGCATTTGCTAATGCTTGCATATCACCACCCCCACAAAAACCTGCGTTTCTACAATCTACACCACTCCACCCCCCATGGCTACCCCTTCTAGTAGCGTCCTTGCTCCTAGTAGCGATGCCAGGAGCCCCTAGTAGCTTCTTGTTCCTAGTCTCGTTTCTGGTCTAACCCTACTTCGCCACTTCGCCTCGCCTGGGCGTGATCGTGCATGCCCTGCGCTAGCATTTGATGGCTCACCGAGAGCATCATTCCCTTCATGAGGTAGAGCCCAATAGCTAGAAGCACTGCCAAAGCCAAATTGGAAATGCCATTCAGCCAGAAGTAGAATGGCAACCCTGTAGGGCATTGACGTGGAATCACGCTCGAATACCAAACGTAGCAGAAGCCAAGTATCAGCATCATGAAGATTAGAATCAATCCGATGGCCAAAACACACATCGACTGCTTGTGCGAGTCGCCAACCATCTTCTGTAGACTTGGCTTCCCCACAGGAGTGTAGCCATAGCTTCCATGTCCTTTCATGGCGACGTGCGCCAATACTTTGAGCCAAGCTGAACAGGAGACAAACACAACATAAACTGAAGAAAACGTGACACTCAAAGCACAGAGCAGGACAATAAGAACCCTTCAAATCCGAGTTCCTTCCAGCTCCTTCCTGTTCAGCTTTTGATGCTGAACGGAAAGTCACAACGTGCATCTACAGAGTATCTCTCGTCGATCTAAGCCTTGTGTTCCTTTCTCGACTCTTGACGCAAGAGAAAAGGCCTTCCAAGCATTTGGTCTTCCACAGCGAGCTTTGCAAAAGAACGCGTTCGTGCTTGTACCAAGGGGTCAGGTAGTGATGCTCAAAAACCTAAGGACTCCAGCAGGAGCACTCTTCAACGCACTCTTGCACGACCTTCATTCAGGTGATCATTTTTTTCCTTTTCCCTAAGCAGTGGTGACACTGAAGGACTTCTTAAGGTTGGTGCTCTGAACATGTGCGCTGGGCCTGATGCACTTGTTATCTAAAATTCTGTCAGCGAAGACAGTCTTGCAAAAGAACCCGTTAACCACATTGGTTAGCGGCTAGCGGGGTTTTCCTATGTTTTCCCGCGGGTTCATGACATAACAAGACGTCTCGATGCAGGCCCGATCTGCGAATTACAAGCGCCTAATTGACAAGCATCATCTCACATCTAATTGGGATATGGGTTGTGGACAGTGGATATCGTGGCAGTCCCTAGGCACTTTCATATGCTCCCAAGTGCTCTCATCTGTGTGCCTGATATTGCGTTCCTAGTAGTAATAATGCCCTTGTTACTACCAGTACAAAAACAAACATGTCACAATGCCCTTGTTCCTAGTAGCGATGCCCATATTATGTGTGCTCTCATCTGTGTGCCTGATATTGGCTGCTCTCTGTTGCGTGTTCTTATGTGCTCTCTTGCTGCATTGCAAGCGCCAACAAGTGTGGACAGGTTCCAAACAAGCAAGCTCCAACCGCCTTCACTGTTTGGGGTGGCAAGAGCCCAAAGTTCACAGGTTCTTTTTCCTAAAGTCATTCTTCTGAGAAAGTAAAAGAAGCAACAGAAGAAGCTTCTTAGCCTTCAGCAAGTTGGTCGACTTGTTTCTAAAAACTGGCTTTTTCAAGGCTTTCCTGCGTTGGGTTTCTTAGTTGCTCCTGGATCACTTTGCAGCTTACTAGCTATCCTTACTTACTACAATAGCTATTTGCAAGCTACCTTCTGCGGCCTATCCCCCCCTGAAACAAATTCCTTTTTGCTTCCTTTTTACTCGTCTTGGCAAAGAAGAATAACATGGTAAGGAAGGACGTCCAAGCTTCTCCTCGGCAGTCCTAGTCGGCTTCTTTTTGGCTTCTGCCCATGCAGAAACCGGAGCTTCTGCGCCCGGCTGTGAGACATTTGAGTCGACTTCTGGCCATCTGTGAGGGCAGTCTGAGTTTCTCTGAAAGGTGGCCGTTGCTAGTAGGTTGGAGGCCATCGCTAGTAGGCCCAAGATTTAAGGGCATGACTTGAAGCCGGCTATCAAAGGCGCGGACTTGGCTTCTGCAATCAAAACAGGTGGCCCAATCGTCAAGCTTGGCTTCTTAGGTGAGCCTCACCATTCCATTCCAGGCCTGGCAGGCAACCGCTGCATGTTGATGATTCTATGTAGTTTCCAAACACTCAGACATGGGTGGGGGATCGCTTGCGCAACACTGCATTTTGGATCCCTCAGGCACTCAGATTTCGCTTTATGATTGAAGCATGTGGCCAAAAAA